TCAGAACTGAACTGCCCACCGTAGTCCCATCGTAGTCACTGCCTTTTAGCTTTCAACATTTCTCCAAGGAAACTTCCCTCTCGATTGTAGCGAAGAGATGAAAACGCTAGCTTTCCATTTGTACTTTTTGTAAGGAAGTGGAATACAATGGCTGTTTATGCATGCCATATCGATATTTTATGCTATGTTATGTTACGTGTAGTCGTGCATAACGTAGGACTGATAAGCGCCAGCGAGGTTTTAGAGCTTGAAAGCGGGAATCCGTGGCTCTCCATACCAGTAGTCGTGTAAGATCAGATAAGGCGAATGGCGAAATTGGATAAGAAAAGCTCTTACCAGGGTTCAGTTCCTGATAGGTGGCGATTCCGTATGAATCAACGATTCCTTGGAAAACTTCGGTGAATTTGTTTGTTCTGTTATAAGTCGGTGGTTCTTCTGGAGACTCTAGAACGTTCAGAACTGGCTGAACTGTAGAGCCTGATGTTTCCTAAACGAGATGTGCATGAGAATATCTTCGCAAGATAGTAGAAACTCTACTGCTCACCGCTCCTCGTTCGAGGGCTGCCTTCACTTCGTCTAAGTGAACCAAGGGCACCCAGCATTCGGCCACAAAGAACTTACCAATACCATCGAAGGTAAAGAGATTCAGATGGTGGTACACGGTTTTTTGCATTCTGACCTGCAATGTTTTTTCTTGTGCGATAAGCTGAAGAACCTTCTAATGATCATTGCGCAAGTGATGTTTGGGGAAAAGGGATGCGAGCCAGGGTCAACCGTCACGTTGGACCAATTTCGAAAATTTTACGACCCCTCCCCTTCTAGAGGGCCTCGATACGACCCCCCCTCAGGGTTAACCCTTCACGACCATCCTCCACCACCCTCGCCTGCCATCGCCATCATGGGGGCGATTCTATAGTATTTGATTCTGAGACCAGTCGACACAGCCCAACTCCGCCCACTTTTCCTCCAAAATTGCCGTCGAGCGGGGGGGGGGGGGGGGTATGTGAAACGGCAAAATTTTCACACTCAACACTCAACCCAAAATCCCAGCCTACGCCTACAACCTAATCGGACGCCTACAACCTATCCGCTCTCCGTTCCATAAAAAATCATCCCTTCCCTTACTGTAACATTAACGCTACCTCGCGAAAATACGACCCCCCTCTTTCCACTCCCCAAATACGACCCCCACCCCCTCGTTGGACTTTGTCCAACGGACGGTTGACCCTGATGTAAGCAGGTATACGTTTATGCTTTTCCGATCATCTCATAGATTTATTTTACCAGTTGGAGGGTGTTAAGGCGATCGAATCTTAGGCCGATGTCATAGTTTGCGAATCGAGCGATTCGCTAGCGAATCGCTGGATCCGAGCGTTGCGCCAGCGAATCGAACGTTGCACCAGCGAATCGAACTTTGCGCCAGCGAGTCGAACGATGTACCAGCGAGTCGAACTAGGTACCAGCGACTCAATAGTGGCGGGACCCAACGTTTAAAGGAAGCCCGCCACTTTCAAACAGTGTCACGTGACAGTGGACGCTGTTTGAAAGTGGCGGGCTTCCTTTAAACGTTGGGTCCCGCCACTATTGAGTCGCTGGTACCTAGTTCGACTCGCTGGTACATCGTTCGACTCGCTGGTGCAACGTTCGATTCGCTGGCGCAACGCTCGGATCCAGCGATTCGCTAGCGAATCGCTCGATTCGCAAACTATGACATCGGCCGTAAAATTCTGGACGTTAAACTCCCCTCCTTCCTACCTTTCGAATGAGTCGCAACCTGAACGCCTAACGAAAGTGGAAAACAAATGTGATATACTCCGAGGTTTCCCTTGTCAGAGCTGTAGAGCTTAACTAAGGTTGGCGAGGTAAATAAACGTGTTTCATGCACCGCGACCTAACGACCCTTGAAATAGCAATAAGAACAGCCGCGTATGTGTACAACATGTTAAAAAAGGATTCCACGACAAGATGAAAGTCAAAATGGGGAAACTTACCTAGTGGAGAGAACAGGCAGACCCTGTAACAATAAGGGGGCAGATCGACGCGCCAATTTGCATCGAGGGATTTGCTCGGCGATCTAGTAGTACGGCCTTCTCCGCGACCCATTTGGTGCGCTATTGGTCTGTTACATCCCCCTCCCGCGTCGTCTCGAGTCTGAGTCCCCAGCCGTTCAACAAAGAGAGCCTTAGCGTTGAGGAGGGCAGCTTCGATGAGAGTCGCATAAATGCGGATATACTGGCCTGGAAGGGGTCCCATTTCTTGGATTCTCTGCGGTTTTCTTGGTTTTTTCTCTTCCTTTGTGCATCACTGGTTATCTCTACCGTAGTCAAATGGGCTGTTTTTCATAGCAAAATCCGCCTTTAATGTAAGGGCATATTCCTTTTACTAAAAGTTGATTCAATTTGATGGCGGCTTGAACAAACATAGTAGAGGCGTGAACATAGTCACAGTCTATTCGACCACACGTATCGAGCTGCCGATCTCGTAGAGTGAAAAGTTTACATGTGACCCCCATCTTACCACCCAGAATAGACCTTAGAATAAGATGAACAATCAAATCAATCAAGACCTGTCTCAGCCAGTTGTTGTGATTATTAGCAGCAGCCTCTGCAGAACCCGGTATCGATGTTCTTGAGTCTGACCGAGCACTGTCTTAACATCCTGTAGACGAGCCTTCACATCAATGCGAGCAGACTGTCGGTCCTGAAACAGTTTTTTTCTAGAACTGTTTCTAGCAACGATCAATTCCGTCCTACCTTGAATGTCTTAGGGCAGTTCTTCATGAGTTTCGCCTTGAAACCGTCGCACACCTTCTCGACGATATTGCGGAGCCGGTCTCCTTTGTAGAAAACGATGAAAACGTCTTTTTGAACTTTAATCCTCTGAAAAAATGCTGCTAAAAGACGTTGGTGAATGCTTTTTAACGATGACGTACTCCGACTCACGTTCTCATCTTCCACTGCCGTCTCGACGCTGCCGCTCCTGAGGAAGCATGTGTGAGACTGGCTCTGGCCAAGCTACTCTTCGAAAGACGAGCAGTCTGTCGCGTCCGGATCACCCCAACCACACTAGCTGAAAAATCACCGTTCGGAAAAAATCAGATTTGAACAATGCAAAAAATAGTTGCTTTCAATACTCGATATTCCTAGGATGAAAGATCTTTTCAATGTCTTGTGTTTTTTTACTTCCAATCTACATGGGCAAGAAACAGATATGTCATCATCAGAAAAGGCCCCACCTGCGTCGTAGGAGTTTACTTCCCGTCTAAATCTCAGACCAATCTCAACCACTATAACACCATCCTTCACCATATATTGTTGACGGTATATCGTTTTATTTTCCAGACCTTAGAAGCTTCTCCTAAATTTTTGCACGAAACATCAAAATATTCTCCAAAAAGGTTTTATTTACTCAGAAAATGCTCACGATGAATTCAGGTTGGAAGCCCTACGATTATTCTACCCAAAGTAAAACCGATAGAATTGTCAGGAGAAAATGGCGAAGGGGGAGGGCACTGAATGTGCTTTACGTCTTTATTGCTAACCTAAGAATTTTTTCATAACAAAAGCTACGAGATTTGATGATGCTCGCAATCGAAATTAGTTTTGGGTCTGGATATTGAAGTGTCTTGATCCAGCGCACTCTACCAATGCTCTGCAGTACTTCCTTCTGTTCTAATTATTTGATTTTGTCGAGTCGTAAAGTCCACGATGTGCACTGACTTGCTCCAGGCCCCTTTTCCCATTTCCTGTCCCGTTAGTGGCCATGCTATGAGCTGTAGGCCGCTACAAGCAGTGGTTTGCCCAGCTGTGTGTTCCGGTGACTCACTGACAACCGACATTCTATCCATAGCAAGGCCTTATCGAGGGCATGTGCACTTCAGGCAACAGGGCAGACGGGGCTTTCACTGTTTTCGCAAATCGTCATTGAGTATTTGAAAGACCCTTGTTGAGACTCATTAATAGCGCTTTTATGGATGTTCCTACAAGCAGGGGAGATCCTTCGGGATGCGAGCTGCTTGGGATTGCCACTGAGGTTCAATTTCGCCTTGAGCACACCCCCTGCGAGGGCAAAAAAGAAGTTGAGAATTTCTAGCTGAGTGGTGATCTACCATTACCTGGAATGATGTATGGAAATTCCACAGGAGAGTTCTCGGTCCTGATAATCAATAAGGCACCTACTATTTGTGCTGGCCCTGTATGGAGCAAATATGGAAGCTTCAGTCTAAAATGCAAAAGTTTAACACGGAAGTTATACGACTTGAACCATTTCTAAACCACTTCTTTGCCTCCATGGAGCCGCTCAGCGAAAATGTACCCTAGTTTTGTAGTCCATGAGCCCCTATAGAATGCAAAAAAATATGTTGATAACCCTTTCCTCACCTATATGGCTCTGTATAGTCTTGACAAAACAAGTAAGGACCATGTTGCATGTGGCTCTATTGTATCGAAACCCTTCGAATGCTAATTGCTGTTCGAGGCACCTTCCATGTTGCAGGGACGATGGGGAGTGGATATGGAATTCAAATATTTGGTACTACGTGGCCGACTAGTAGAAAAATTGAAACAACTGTCAAAAACTCTCCGAAGCTCTTTCTTATTTGCAGCCGATTTTGAGCTTTGTTTGAGTTAGTGATCTACGTAGGTGACGCCACGACGAGGATCACACGACGAGAAAGGGATTGGCCCGGAAGGCACAAACGTCAACGCCGATCCCCTCTATTTCAGGACGGATAATTTGATAGGTGAACTCAGGCCAGCGACGTAGGCCCATTCTTTGTGCCGCGCTCACCCTTTGAGCGGCGAACAAAAGCATCAGCATTAACTCTGCGCTACTTTACTCACGCAAGAGATTATTTGACCAATGTTCCACTTCTGCTCATCACAGAGTATGAATTTATAAAGAAGAGGCAGCGTCACGGAAGCCACGTTATACCATACTATGAAGTTTTTCTTATGAAATGGGATGTTTCTTAAAGGCACAACCCAGGCAGAGGTTTTTTATAACTCTTCTCTTCGGTCAGAAGTATAGAACCCTAGGGGACAATCACAAATGTGGCGTTCACGTGCACGGAATTCGACCGACAAGAACGCTTTGGGCTTGCAAAGTAAGCTGCTCGAGCTGCAGCGAACGAGCTCTCTTATCAGGCCGTTGTCTGGTGCTCTCTCATCTGATGCGCTCTCTCGCCCCATACTCTCCTCTTCGCGCTTAGTCTCTCGTTCCTTTAGCACAGCCAATTAGGAAGGTGAGTGAGCCCTCAACCTGAGCGTTTTCGACGGATTCTTTTCCTTTTTTCTTCACTGCCGGCCCACTTGGCACCGATACATTCACATTCGTGTGCAAGAGCCACACCAGTGCGATCCTGGGGCATGCCTTTAAAAAGTTGGGAAGACGATTGGGTTTGAATTTGAGCGGAAGTGCTGATTAAATCCACTGATAGGAGAGACAAACTCCTCTGTTTATTGGACACCTCCGCCCCCCCTTCGAGGTAAGCAAACCAGCCCTTTTGGCGTTTCGGCTGGGACCGTATGCTGAATGTTGGGGAGGGGATGGGGTCCCCAACGGTCGACGGTTTACTTCAACTCGGTTGGTACGATAGGAGAGTACTGACGCAAGTGGTGCAGCTGGTCCAGCAGCTCCGCCAGAAGGGCTGGTTTGCTCACCCCAGGACTAAGCCTTGGAGAGGGGACGGACCCGTCCTCTCTTTAAGGCTTAGTTCTGAGGTAAGCACCAAATTGTGGCGGTTCTAAGGACCGAGTTGAAGTGGTCCGTCCACCGTCGGGGACTCCATCCCCTCCCCAACATTCAGCATACGGTCCCAGCCGAAGCGCCAAAAGGGCTGGTTTGCTTACGTTAGCGTCCCCCCCCCCCCCCCCCCCCCCCTAGTAGGTTCAGAACTGTATAGCGAAGTGGTAGTACTGTCGTCCTCACAAGCAAAAAATCAATAAAATAGGCAGCCTTAAGTTTTATGTTTTCACCTAGTATTTTCATTCTATAACCATTATTTTCAATAAAGCATAAAAGGATAGTGCATTTGACGGTGACCAATATTTTTTGCGCCGTGCATCCAACTTTCATTCATAATCATGGTGACATTTCAATGCGATTTGGCCTGAACCCTACTTAAGTTCGCCCCCATAATTGACCTCGGAAGGATAGAAGGGTCTGGAGCCTAGAACGCTACGATACGGTGTTCGATCACTTGATGATGCGCGTTAAAGGAAATGCCATGCCTTCTCGGAGAAATCGTGATTCTATCTCACCCTAAATCACTGGTTCGAGACCCGTTTTATGCGATAAGAACGAAGAACGAAAAATTGTGTTTGTTTTAGTAGGCAATTCAAAAACCGGAAGAGCTGTTGCTGCGCGCAATTCCCGGCCTTCACATCTGTCACAAATGCTGCGCGGCGGAGACGCATCGCTATTCTAGGAGTGATGGCTTATTGCTCTAACATCTCACACTTCTACTGCGCCCTATTCTCTATTGTTTTGTCTCTATTCTCCAAAATTGAATGGTTTCATTAGATACGTTCATTGCGCCGCCTGAAACGTGGTCGCCTCAAGGCCAGAGTCAACCCTGCGTTGCGCAGTTCGCAACGGCACGTCGAGAGATCCTCAACGCACGCGGAGACACAGACGGCTCGAGCATGCGAGTGTGAATGTTCGCGCGAGAGAACGTGTCTAATCGGGCGAAACTGCGCAACGTGGCCGTTGAAAACTGCGCAACGCAGGGTTGACTCTGGCCTCAAGGCACACTTCTTCCATGCGCCGCCTTTGGCTCCGCGCCACCTTCCTTCGACCGTCCAGAGAGTGTGGTTTTCGTAAGTTTATTTCTTTTCGAGAATGAATCCTCATGCGTTAAACTTTGCATGTTTCTCTAGTGATCTTAACTGACATATTCATGTTGAGGAAGAAAGCAAGAATTTTCCGTGAAAAATTACCTCAACCGGCGCCTCCACCACTACACCACCTAAGAAGAATTCTAATAGCAAATAACAAACAACGTTCACGGCTTTATGCAGTCCCCCTTCTCTGCCTATGGAATTCTTGAAGACTAACCTGATCGGTGCCTTCTCGCGCTTTGCTATATTCTTCCTCTTGAATATCGAGTTCTTCAGCTGCCTGATCGTCCAATCCCTTGAACATTTTTGATAATCGGATGTACTTTACTTTGTTTTTTTCAAATTGATAGGTGGGGCGTTCATCATATCACAAAGGACACGTTGAGATATGCACCGAGAGGACATTTTCCATTGGCCTGAAATTGACCTGCTTTCGAGAAGGGCTAGCCTCCTCTCGAAGGCAGGCCAATTCCACGCTGAGGCGAGATGCCTTGCATCTGCCTTGAGGCATACCATTGAAAAGTGGGTCAGGCAAATATACAGTCACTTGGTTACAAATAAATATCTGAGATTAGGCCGTTCAAGTTGATTACATTACATACAGGGGTGGCCAAAAAAAAGAGACACTCAGCCCATGGCGCACATCATCGAACTTTTCGTCACACAGGGAGCCGATGTTAATGAAAGTTTTATGGCGTTATATTCCTTAGTTGTTCCTCCGTAAACAGAAGCAAGCACTCCTTCACTGCCCCTGCCGTCTCCAGAATATGACGTCATCTGCCGTCACCGTCGAGCTCAACGAGGCTTACCGAAATCGCTCCGACCTGAAGCTGCTACACAATTTCCTCAGTGAATTAATTGTTGAATAGCTTCCAGAGACATTAGCTGTGAATGTGCAAAACCGCTTTTGACCTGCGTTTCAGAGACGTCGTAATCGTCTATGGTATCTCAAGGCCTGCGGAGTTTAAATTGTGTGTGTAGCGGTGAGTGTGGTGTTGACGCGCACAGGTTATGTGTTGAGTTTTCGGTGGGAAAATCTTCTGATGTCGTCGGTGTAGAAGGCTGTTGTGTAGCTTGTTGATAGATTATAACGTGCTCTTCAATATTCAGTTGGGGTCATTTGGTTTGGTTTCGCGACGCGTAAATAATTCCGTTTTGAATGTTGAGTGAAGTGTCTCTTTTTTTTGGCCACCCCTGTATACGTGCTATACATAAGACGAAAACTCACGAGGGGGACCGAATTGATCGATTATTCATCGTAAACGCTAAGTTAACGTGCTTTGATATAGTAAAAATGAGGGAACCATTGAGACACTCACTCCGTGGAAGAACTCATCGGTTTTCTCGAGAACCGCTTCCCATTCCTTCAGCTCCATATAGTTCTTCTTGAGTTGTGCATCAGATTCGTTCATGTTTTGAACGTCTCTTTCAAGATCAGTGAGAGTCGTCTAAAGTCCGATTTGATCACTTCGTGGTTTGTCAAACCACCAGATGAAATTGTTTGACTAACAGCTGTCGATAATGAAATTGTAGGTGCCGAGTCGATTAAAAATGCGAAAAGAAACAAAGCAGACTGTCTATGAAGTCCTGATAAAACAAGGTCTCCCTCTCTGCCCCATTGAAATGAAGTAGGGGCGTGTGTGGAACGAGTTATCTGCACTTGGCTTGCTCCATGGCTCAATATGAATTAGCCGCCTACGCTGCAACTTCTAGTTACTTTGTCATGAGTACGCGCGAGTATAACCTGCGTCCATTGAGCCACCATAACTAGTCATTAGCGCTCCTTTTGTAAACAGCTCGAGCGCACATTGTCGTGTGCCGTCGACTCGGCGACAAAAAAAAAAAAAAAAAAAAAAAAAAAAAAAAAAAAAAAATTGGACACAACAGTGATCCTTCGCGGGGTAGTCATATCCTACCACGGAACTTGATTGTTCCGACAGACCTTCACCCGGGGTTCCTGCTTCAAGACACAAAACGAACCTCCAATTGGTTCAACTCCGCTGTCGGCATCACACTGTAGTCACCTTGAACCAGCCTTCCAGCAATCGGGATCTCATCCTTAGTGATTTGCGACTCCAGAAACCCTACAAAGGGCTTTCGTAACTTTTCAACTTCTCGAAATTATGCTTTCAACCTCTCAGCACTTAATAGCCTCGAAGTAACGCAATTTCTCCCTTGAATACTCACTGAGCTTTCTCTCCATCTCATCGTATCGTCGAATGTGTCGCACAAACGTTCTTTGGAAGGGGTTGACATCGGGATTCAACTGAAAGTCAAAAAATGAGCGATTGAAGCGAGGACGACAAAGAGCGTAATTTATTACATGAACTATACAAGGGCTATGATCGCCACCCAGAAAAGGCGGGGAAGTTAGATAAAATTATTGTATTTTAATATACAATTGAATATTTAAATCATGTTGTTTTCAGCATTCAAAATCCTTTTATTATTTATATATATATATATATTATATATTATTACATTAATTATTTTTCCGGAATTTAATGTTATAGCTCAAATTTTTTAAACATAGCTATGTAGGTTCATCACATAGCAGGAAACGAAACAGCTCTGAAAAAAGAAGAGTTAAATCTTAAATAAGAAAAGAAAGGAATTCCGACCAAGAAGTTTCGCAAACATTCGTCGAAATTCAAGGCGAATTCAAGGACTTATTGTGGACTCATACTGATTGTTCAGTCCTGTAAAACATGTGATAGATTTGCCTGCCGAGAGAAGTGTTCCTCTGGTTCCGAATATTTGCTCTTCCCGGACACTTAGCTGGTTGCAATTGGATTTGCCACACATGTAATGTAATGTGAGAGAATGCTATCGTTCGTGCATGTTCGGTAGGATAAGCATATTACTCGTAAATTCACTGAAATCGCTTCGGCTACAATAGCTATGCTCGAACTGACCAGGAAAGGTGATCAGGTCGGTCCGGCCATTTGCAATGAGGTGTATACCTATGCATTCGTCTTGAGACGATGAGCTAGAAACTGCTTTTCCGTATCTGCTGAAGGATGCTCTGAATCGGAGCTCAAAAGCTTCCTTCTCTACACTTATGGGCAAAAAGTGCCCAAACTTGCGAGGAAGTTCTCGCAAACTCTTCATCGAGGCAACAAATGGCAAATGTTGATGAATTAACGAAGTTAGAAGCTTTTCAGCCACACTGCCAAAAAAAGAACAAGAAACAGACTCTCTGAGGACCGTTCCCACGACCTCTTGTCTGCGAGTTCGGGGCACTACCGCTGCGCTTCCTTGCTTTATAACTACGTTCAAAGAATCGTTTAGCAGATAGGAAGGCAGTTTTGAGCTCAGCGTCTCGAGGCGAGTGCAACGGTATACAGCTCATTGCAAATTGGTGGACCAACCTGATGATCTCCCCTGGCGAGACATTAGTGCTTTTGAAGCAAATGTTCACGTTTAGGTGTTCAGGAAATATTGAGTGAGATTTGAGGCACTCAAACTCCCTGATTCTATTGTTAATTTATTTACTCAATGCACGCATAAGTGCGCTGACACATTCCCAATAAAAATTGGTCTGTAGTAACTCATATGATTGAATGAAGTTAAATCGACTTTAGTGCGACTGATAATAATTTCGGATGCATGGCGTACTCCAGGCTTGTTTCAATTAAGTGGACATACTTTCAGTAGGTCACATTATAATATAACTGTGGCTTAAAGCTGGCCACGATATCGAAAGAAGATAAGTTTTGTTTTGAATTTTGTGCATAGCGTTTTAACTGTATCCATTGCAAGAATGCGCCATGCAATCCATTTCAAGTAAGAATCGGGACCCTCGTTTACATGTGTGCACACTTCAAACGCACATAATCAATATCGAAAACTGGCTAACATTGAGTCCAGCGATGGTATTTCCACAGACATGACTGGTTTCACACTAACCCTGACGGGAGAGAAGGCTCGTCGGATTTGGTGTGGTTAATCCCACGAATCGCCCGATTAGCATGATTCCCTTCTACTACTTTATAAATGGCCTGCGCTCCAGCGAATATACATAAGACTGTGACAAGAATAAATATCCTGGCGTTCAGTTCATTCTGAGATGGGCCATGTATTCGACTTGCAGTCAGAACTGTAGTGGTATTTGAAAGCATAACTGGCCCACAAAATGACTTGCCAAAACCAGCCGAGCCGGTGTCTTTATTCAGTCACAACAATTTTGATTTGACTAGCAAACACTGCGGAGATGTAGGCATTGAATGGCATGAGTAAAACCCGATCTGAAATTCGATCTCATGAGTGGGACGGTAGCGTCACTTGCCACTGCTCCACTTTCCCCTTTGCTAATGGGAGAAATAAAATCTATAACTGTTCTATAGTTATCTGAGCTTATATCGGTCGAATCAACATGCCAGCGCAAATTCGGTTTCCCCGATTCCCATGACGTAGTGCTACGGTTATCCGCCAAATTGCATTAAGCGCCACCCAAGAATTCATGCGATCATCTCTATCAACTTTCACCTTTTTCCTACGCTTGCTAAATCACTTTTGCACTCCTGATCTATCTTGATGTTTACACAACTCTACGCCGACATTTCCGTATCTGCCGAGATCAAGTCGACTAGATAAGCATCATCTTGTGTCGGGCGTTGGTAATCTGCCAAGGTTATTCCAATGGTTCTCACCGGGTTCAGGGCGAGACCCGCTGAATAGTCAGGTATTCAGAGAGCCAGACATTCGATGAATTACGAATAAAACTACCAGGAGAGATTTTACCAAAACATCAGGGAGATAGGCTCACTTTTTATTCGCCAGGGTTTCAATCGGTTGGAAGATATTATTAATATATATTCAACAGCTATTACATATGAACCGTGGCTTCTTACATTGCTCAACGCTGCTTTAGCCCCAGGCGCGACCCCGCGACTGCGCGGGACTAACGCTAGGGAGAAGAAGAACTGCTGTTTTTGGACGCAGTTCGCCTTGTCAAACAAGGATCAAAGGATGCTGGTTGTGAACAAAACTTTCGCCCCAAACGGTACTCGTCTGTCCGTCTTTCAGTCGCGTCTGGGGCGAAAGTTTCGTTCGCAACCCAGCATTCCTGTGAGATATAAAGAACTGTTGAATCAGAAACTAATGACACGTTGTGGAAGAAAGAAACTTATTCCTTCGAAGGTTGAGTACCCAAAGGGCAGGGTGCAAAAACCCCGCCACGACTTGTCAAACATTCGTCATCATCATGCTTGTTGTCAGTAGCTCCAACGACCAACAACAAACATGCCGTGACGAATGTCCGAGAGCCCTCTTCAACTGAGTTCAAACCCGGACCGAACGCAAATAAATGCGGAAATTTATCTTGTCGGTATTTTCGGAGCCAAGAAATCGCATATACGTGGTAAAGTCGATCTGTTCCACTTTTGCTAAGTGGAAAGTTTGGCAATTGAAGCATTACTTCTTACAATATCTTTATTCACAGTGTGCTATGATTTCCTTTGGAAGATGATCGCTCATGCCCTTGGGGGGACATCACAACAGAGCCGATGGTAGGTGACACTTGGACTAAGCCCAGGAGAGGGGAGAAACGCCAGGGAGAACACATACATTGCTCACATCCTACCCCATAATCCCTTCCCTGCCTAAGGGCTCAGTCCCAAGCACAGCAATTGGCTCCACTACCTTGAATACCAACCGGCAACCAACATTGAATGTCCCCCAACGACATGAGCGCCGGAAGATGTTTATTAGCAGTTAAATACGTGGCGCATCCCGAAAGGAGGTTGACTTGTTTCGGGTGCTTTTATCATTGGTTCTGCTCACGTAGGAAAAAGTGTAGTGGCAAGTGCCCCCCCCCCCCTAATTCACATCATAGATCGATCCCTATTGGAATCATCCAAGCCTTTGATCACACAGGGACTGGGTAGATGATCGCAGATTCATGTGAGAAGTGGAGGAAATTTTCTTTCAGATCAACTACTGTCGTTGCATAGGTCGAGTAGCATGCAAATGCAGGGCGATTGCAAATGGAAGAAGCATGCATGGCGCGTTCCCAAAAGGAAATAATCACACCCAGTGTCTCACCATCCTTTCTTTCCCCTTATCCCGCTCCAAAATATGTAGTAAAACCTGCCGTAGCCTTATTCTACGAAAGGATCTGACCTTACAGAAAAAACTCTATATAAGCCTAAAAAGTTCAATAATTAGTGACAACATTCTTTAGCATTTGCCGTTGGCCTTATCAATAGTGGGTCTGTTTTGGTACAAAGTCATTAGCGCTGGACAAGTCCTCTTATATCGTTACACGACACGAACAATGGAAAAAACTCTTCTCACATCTTTGAATTGCACGTAGGGTTGTTTGCCGAGTTCAGCGACGCAATTGAAAGCTGCTTCTTTCTCTACGATCAGTTGACAGAAGCGCATTTCCTCCGAACGAACGAAGGACCCCATGATTGGCCTGTAAAAGCAATTCTCGGCGCGGTCACCAAAAAAATTAGTCATACAAAATCAATTACAACGATGGAATCCATGGAAAACGGCCACGTTCACGGTCACACTGTGAAGAAGAGAAATGCGCTTTAAAAAGAAACGAAAGTAACGATTGCTAGAAGAAGGACTAACACTCGGCGGAAACCAGTTTTCCCAGGACGTACTTTGCTTTACCTACGTGATTGATTGACACCAGCCTGTTATGTGCAAAGAATTTTATCGCCGAGATATAGAAAAAGTTTGACCAAGCCCGATTAATTTCTACTGAAAAGCGGAACCGGTCCCACGTACTCGAAGAGACCACACAAGCTTTGGAGGTTTTGACGCTCTGACGTCTCGCTTACACCGATTATTGACATAATCAAGTCTTGAATAAACAAAACATGTAAAATAATAAACAAGGCGATAAACATTCATATCTCAAGCACTTGTATAGGAAACTGGAGGAACCTGCGAACGGTCTTCGCACCTTAGCTACTCAATTAAATTTGTCCAAAGCAACACACCCACTACAAGCTCTTTCGAAGCCTCATGAATACCCTCGAGTCCCAAAATAAGCTTGACAGGGTTCCATCCAGTAACGGGGGGGGGCATGTGATGCGACAGTTCATATTGCATGAAGAAATCCACTTTTTTCAGGGGAGGGAAGCTCCGGGGTGGGTGTAAAAGCTTAAGCGAAATGGTTCACGCACCCCGGGGTTCCCTCCCCTTGCAAAAAAATTGGAATTTCTGTAGCCAACAAGAACTGTCACACCCCCCCTTTACGGAAAAAAAAATGGGAAAAAGGGGAACCCCCGCGCCGCGACAATTCAAGACCGTCATTACATTATCTTTCGTACCAAAAAATTCTAGTAAAACACCATTGTTACATAGAACTGGCTCTTTCAAGCCATAACACTCGAACGAAAAGTCAAATAAGCTCGTGCTTATGTCTCTGAGAAGTGGCCTCTCGTGGGATATTGATCACGGTCAATGAAAACCTTGGAGGTAAAGGAAAAGAGTTGAAAAGTGAAGCTGACTGTAGGTGGTGAAAGGCGATGGATGGTGTCGATGATGATGGCGAGAGATCAGCGGTCGGTCTTCGGTCCTGGGCGATTACGCTGCGTCTCGTCGAATTGCACCATCCCTCACTGCCGCACCATCCATACAACTTCCACATACACTCAATTGCCTTATCAAACGCAGTTTCCGACGAGAATCCACAGTCATATGGCATACCGTACGCCGTCGGGGTTGCACTTACGGCTAATAAGGCAGGATTCGAATAATGGTGTGGATAAACACACGATGAAATGCCTCAACCGTTTTTAGTAGGATGCGTAGCCGATTCGATTTCCGCTTAGAATCGCAGGGAGATTGAGAGATTTCAGAATTTATCATCGTATCTGACGGAATAATTACCAGAGAAAAACATGACTTGGGTGCGGTTATGTTCCCAGCCACACCGAAAGCTGAGCAATGTTTCACTGCTGGTTTCAGCAGAGGTATCGGCTCCAATGTGAGGTCACAAGTGTAAAGGTTCACTAGTTGTACTTTTTGCACGCTAGATTTCCAAACAGGGTCAAGCGTGCGTTGTGCAGATGTGAAAAATTTTACCCCTTCCCCCCGCCCTCAGAGTGACTACTACCCCCTTGCATCAACTGGAAAGGCCTATCTACATATTTTTACGAACGTAGTTGATGTGTGAGCTGTGTGAGCCATCATCGGCATAGAAAGAGGAGGTGAGCGGTGGGAAGTTAACCCGGAGAAAGGGAGTCGGACAGTATTAAATTTTATTCTTTAAACAGAGTAGTTTCTTGAATTTAGCTTCAAGGTAGGCTTGTTTGTAATCGTAAAGAGCTCTACTTCCAGAATATTAACAAGTTTTCTCCAAATCTTCAAAGCTCCCTTTTTCAAGAAGTGAAAAACTGACCTCCATTCAAAATGGTTACACCTTTCTTCATTTTCATTTTTGTGAAATGCGATACAAAAATTTCGAAACCTCAATTTGCTTCATTTCCAAAACGTATTGTACCTTTTGCAAATGTTCAATTTTCAAAAAATCGTCCCGTTGTTCCGTTTTCTGTGCACACGCGAGTTTTTGACATTCAAACATTCATAACTTTCTTCATAATCAACTTTTTGCAAATGTCTAAGGCTAATTAGAAACTAGAAGATTAGCTTTCGAACAAGCACCTGAAAATTTTCCAGCGATCATTTTTTCAAAAAATAGTCCCGTTGTTCCGTTTATCAGGTATTTGCGATCCGGTTTTGCAGAACGCGCGAATTCTCATCATTCCAATACGTTTATAATAACCTCCCTCATAATTAACCTTTTGCAGATCTAAGGCTAGTTGGGAACTAGGGGAACAGGGCTTCTCAACAAACACTGGACTCTTTTTAAGGCCCACTTTTTAGAAAAATGGTATCGTTTTCTTTTTTCTCTCTATAAATTTTCAGGCCAGTCTCCTGGAAAGCGAGTTTTCAACCTTCCAAGGTCCGCAAGTTCCGGTGGTGTATGCGAAGGCGTAAAGACCATTGAAATTTACTGGATCAGTGCTTTGTAGAGTAGTCGATCATTTGCCAGAGCAATTCTGTCATGGTCAAGTCGACTTACTACAGATTCCTCGATTGACCATCCATCACATTTGCCGAAGATGAGGAGTGGGTACAGTGTGCTAACAAATGAACAAGCGGCGGTAGTCCAGCTCAAACGCTTCGGGAGTTCTTACTGCTAAGTTCAACCTCGTCCAAGTAGGGCCTTCTCGGATTTTTGGTGGAACACGAGAGGAGTTGAGCTCTGGAAACCCCTCCGTGTAGATGTCGCAGTCAACGCGAAAGTCAACTATCCACAGCTCGAATTGCAACGCTTTTAATACGAAAAAAAGCAAGGCAAAGTTTGCTTTTGTATGACACCGTTGAACCACCTCTTGCTAAGAAAATTCAGGAAAATTTTGGACTCTCGGACGGAGAGTTCTTCCGTATCCACCTTATAGCCCTGACCTCGTGCCAAAGGATGCCCACCTGCTCCCCTCTCCAACCACCTCCTAGAGAAATCTCATCCTAACCATCATGATGTCAAAATCGACATCTGATCTTTCTTCGATCAGAATTCAGTAGAGTTCTACAAGGGAGGCATCGAACAGCTTCTAGTGCGTTGGCAATAGGTTGTAGATATTGATGGTGGTATTGTACATGAATGGAAAAAGGTCTAATCCAGTTAGGGGGGCGTCATGATGCAGCTTCTTGGCGAA